TGGTTACCTATTTAAGTATTTTATACTAGAGTTCTATACTAGATATTATATCTATAATTTATTAGAAGATTATTTATTTAAACTTTTAAATTATCTATCTTATTAATTATTTTAACTACTACAAACCTCTTATATATACTTAATTAGTATATTATCTGAGTAGTAAAATATCTTTACTTTTTAAAATAATACTTAGGCTGTTATATATTTTAAAATATAACATCTAATATTAAAACTTAAAAAACTTTCTTATTAACTATCTACTCACTTTATAGACTATTAATAAGAGCTTGTTCTTGTAGAATTTACTTATACTTTAGTATCTACTTTATATTATATCTCTAGTATTTTGTATATTCTGCTTTGTTTTTAAAGTTTTGATTCAAATAATTCAGAAAAACTGTAATCTGTTTTTAATTTATTAAGTTTGATTTAATATTCTTTTCTTTTAGTTTAATCTAATAGTCTGATTAATATTACTACTTATTTAAAGATTTTTGTGTATTTAATTTCTATATATTAATATTTATTTTCTCAGTTTAGCTTTTATAGTAATACTGTCAAAAATCTATGTTACTTCTTTATTCAGGTCTTTTTAAGTAGGCTTTAGTTTTTTTTAGTTCTACAAATTTATATAGTAATAAGAACTTATCTTAGATTTGCATTATGTAGTACTGGTTTACATCTTTTATATAACTAAATAATACAAATACCTTATTACTGCTAGTTATACTAGTATAACTACAGAATTATAGTTATAAGTATCTTATTCTAAATGATTGACAAAATGCTATTACTATAATACTACCTATATATTATATAGATGATTATTTAAATTTTTACTATTAGTAAGTTTTAAACTCACAATCTTTCATTTAAAAGATTGACAATTTATTCATTTTACTAAATTATTATATTTCTTTATACTTAATTTTTTATAATTTATATAATATAAAAACTAAAATATTTAAATCTTTTTTGAATTAAAGTAAAAAAACAACCTATATTTAACTCTAATTTTATTAATAAAAAATATTTTTTATTTAAAAATTTGCTTAAAATGAACCAAATTTATATAAATTAATAAAAGTAAATATTATATATTTTTTTTGCTTATAATACAAAGTAAACATATGTTTTTAATATTAAAAATACTTTTAATTATAATAATATTTTTAAAATATAAAGCATCTTAAAGTTTTTTAATAATTTAAAAACTAGTAATAATAATATTAAAGCTAATTTTTATTATAAACTATATATTAATAAATTATTATTTTAGTTTTATTATTTATTATATAAAATTCTAATAATATTTGTTTATTTATTTTTTTAGAATATTTTATTTTTTAATTTATACTACTATAATTAAAATATTATTATAATAATATATAAAGTTAGGCTTATTAATATATAGTTTTTAGCTAAAAATTTATATTTTATTTTTATTAATTAATTTAAAATTAAATTAATATTGGTGTTCATAATTTTACAAATATTTTTTTATAAAATAACAAATAATTATAATAAAATTGTAATTGTTTAAATATTATTTTTTATTGTTTAAAAAGATTCTTATTAGTTTTTTTAAAAAAATTTCTTATAATAAATTTTTTTTAGTTTATATTATTTACTAATATTGTATTTTTAATTTATAAACAAGCAAAGAATATTTAAGAATTAATAAAATATAAACAAATATATTTTTTGACAGAAAACTTAAAAATATATAAATATAAAAAAACTATATATTATATAGAAATTTTTTTTATATAGTAATAGATACTGCTATATATTAAACTTAGTTTAAACTTATCTTTAATATTTAAAAAAAACTCAATATTGAAGTTAGTTATATTATTAATTAGTACTTTTATTCTTTAAAAAAATATTAATAATATTTGTATTTTAATTTTTATATTATTTTTTTGTTATAAATACAAATATTAAATTAGTATATTATTTTTATTTTTTATATTTTTTATTTAGTAATTATTTTTTTAATATATTACAAAAAGCAACAAATAAAAAAATTGTTTAAAAATAAAATAAGAAAGTTAAATAAAAAATCTTGACTTATTTATAATATTAAAAATAATATAACTAATTTCTTCTTTAGAATTTATAGATTTTTAGCAAAACAAACTTATAAATACAAATATATCTTGTATAAATATAATATATAGTTTCACAAATGCATTAGTAATTATATAATCTTTATATTCTAACTAAAGATATAGTTACAATTTACTATAATATATATAACAAACTGTAGTTATTAGTAAGTTAATTAATTTTTTTAATCTTAACTATATATTTATTATACTTATTTTTTTTTCTTTTAAACTTTTTTATAATCTTTTAAATAATAAAATATAAAACTCTTAATATTAACTAAATAATAATAATACACCAAATCTGTTAAATCATTATTTTTGTTATAACTAAATATCTTATTTTATAATAATATTTTTTTACAAAATTTTGTATTCAATTTAATTTTTTTTTAAATTACAAAATTAAATTTTAACTTTGATCTGGCTTATATAACTTTGATAATTTTTACAAAATTTTGTATTCAGTTTGATTTTTTTTTGAAATTGCAAATCCAATTTTAGATTTGATCTAGTTTATATCGGTTTGATAATTTAATTACTAAGAACAAGAAACCAATATCTAAAATATTCAATTAATAACTTGACTTCTAAAAAATATAGTTATGTATATCACAGATCAAAATTTTCAGAGGCATTATAAACAGAAAATACTAAAACTACATTTTTGATATATATTATAACCAATAAAATTCTAGTGAGAAATATTAAAAAAGACTTAATACAAAATTAATCTTGTATGATAAATATATACGAATTGGCGCAAATATTAAGAAATACAGTATATATAGTTATCTAAGTTAATTTACAGCCCTTCAAATTGTCATCAAACTAATTTTACGTCTAACCAAAGCTCCAACTTTAATTGTAACTTATACAATACTAACTTTGAAAATGTGTTGGAAATTTTTGAACCAAAACTTTTTACTGTATTAGTCAGCGAAGATGTTTAGAAAATATTATATTTCTATATGCAACCGGATATAAAGTCTTGTGATATTTACAGTAGACACCGGATCTTACAGTAAATAATACTGTACATATCAATTTGAATTTATTATTGCCGAAATCAATAACTTATCGTATCAGCAGAATAATCTTTCAGTTCATTTTTTATCAGGTCTTTAAAACAGATAAACATATAGCCATTCGGCTGTATATTTTTGTCAGCTTTGTATGTGATTTTGACACAGTGACATGTTATTCACCTAGGCAAATTGTAAACGTAAATCTATACTTATATACTTGCGAGTAGTCTTGACATTAATTTAAAGAGTTGATCATTTATCTTATTATAGAAATCTAGAGTACGTTCAGCCTCTTCAAAATTAAATATCGAATTATATGAAAGCCACATTTAAGTTCAAATCTAGTTTCAAACCTAAATTTTTATATTTTAAGCCACAAAATTGATAGGTTTACCGTTCTCAAATAACTTATTGTACTAATCCATTGATCATTAAGCAAGAACCTTCTCGCTGTGTTTTTAACAACGCTTTGAAAGTGTTGACGGTGTTAAAGACCGAATGATGTTCGAAATAAACCAAAGGTTGCTATTCTGACAAATTATTTAATTAAACTTGATGATGTTATTATAATGCCAGTATAAGAAAAAATTCGCGATTTCTGAATATTAAATTTGTTGGTATGCTTTATACATGTAGAAACTATTTCAGTGTTGCAGAAAGTATTTTGACATTAATTTTTACAGCTGTTCTCATAAATTCTGGGGCAACTGATAAAGACAGTTCATATCAAAAATCAATGCCGAAATACTTTCAATAACGTCGAAATAGTTTCTACATGTATAGTTCATCATCGTAATTTATTGCGCGCTTTAATAAAATCACGATCATTTTATTAAGGGGGTCACGGAATTTTGCAAAGCATAATAATTATGTTATAATTATGTTATAATTACAGTATTTTTAATTCTACATATCATTTATGATAAACGCAAAACTAAAAAAATAAATTATTTATTACACAATTGAATGACAACTGATAAATATAATCATAAATTTGTATGGGTTGCTATTTTTGTAAAGTATTTTGTGTCATTTTTTATACCGATACGTACAGATATTATAACCGATTTACAAATGAATGCGGTTCTTGGCATATTATGAATTGAGATAAAGCAAAAAATTGTTCGCTTCCAGAAATCTTTTCGATCTCATTTTAAGAATCAACTACTTTGTAAGCAAGGCAATCAAACTTATTAGTAAGAATTAATTGGTAAGTAAAAGATATTAGATAAGCAAAATCAAAGATCTCTTGCAGTATAAGTGACGCCATTAATAAAATGTATTATTAATCAAATGATTTAGAGTAGGTATCACCTATACTGCAAGAGATCCGAATTAAAAAATTAATACTTAATTTCGAATCCTATGATCACACAGAAAGATCTATGACTTTAATGCTCAATCCAATTCTTTACGCGTTGGTCGAAGCCTACCACTTTAAGGTTTCAAGTAGTAAATATATTCGTGTGAACATATTCCGTGCTGGTTCTAGTTAAGCCTTTTTAACTATCCCACCTGTTGGATCTTCTTTCTACATGTATGGGATAAGTGTTGCGTAGATAGGCGAGGGCTTAAGTGCAAGACGCCTTTAAGAATACAACTTCCCGCGCAACGCTAAAGCCAAGATACTGCGACAGCCATTTAAATTGCCGTTAAAATACTGTGAATATATATTTGTGAAACGTATCAAACATATTAATTTCTTTATAAAGAAAATGTTTTCTCAATCTATTTACATGATCAATAATATATTTACACGATGTGAAAAAAACCATCACTATCCTTATTGGGACAATTGATGTGCATATAATTATAGCGATATTCAATTTTCGTTTGGTATTTATTTCAGTTTTCACTCATGGCTTGGAAACGTCCACATATCTGTCTTCTGACAGTTATCATTCTTTTATGTTTTAACTTAGTTAATGCCCAAAATGAGGAAGTTAATGCTCAAGATGACGTGAAACCTAATGATCTTACTATTGAAGCAATTTTTGACTTGATGGCCATTTCATTAATTATATTTAGCATAGATGCTGTACATGCTTCTAGTTCAAGGATTACAAAATTAAATTATTTCTCATTACGAATGATTAGTTATTTCTTTCAATCAGTTATATTATCTTTATCGATTTATTTCACCATTCGAATTTATCAACGTACTAGGGATTTCTTTTATATTCAATATCTTATTACTTCTCTTGCTTTCACTGCCATGAATTTTATCTTTGATATCATTATTAAACTTGAACCGGATATTTTATCTTCTAGTGAATTTATTGTTCATTTAATTTTTTTTATTTTAGCTATTATGAAAGGATATATTACCAATTCTTCCTATTTATTTATACTTTTACCTTCATTATTTGTTATTTTTTATCCGATTCTTGTTTACTTGGTGGGAATTATTCGAGGTAAAGCGATTCTTCCTTCTAGTTAATTAATTTTTCTGCATAAGTCTTAAATACTCTTAAAACACTCATAAATAACCTATTTTATTATTTCAAAGGAAAGGATGAAGGTAAAAATCCATTATTTATTTATTATTTAATTAACAAACTTGATTGTACTATTATATTATTTACATTTACTATATTGCTTAATAAAGAAGAAATACCTATCCGTGTTCGCACTCAAGATTCGCACTCAAGATTCGCTTAATAGTGAAGAACACAATAAAGGTAGTAAAAAGTAACTTGCTTATTTTTTTTGAATAAATACTAAATATATAACCTGCTGAATAGGTTCTACGTGCACTGGAAGACTAGTATCAGTTATCTTAGCATTTATCTTTGGAGAGTTAATGAATCGTGGTTTGTTAGAAGGTAATTAAAATACTTTTAATTCATTTATTATAATTTATCTATTATTATTTGTATAATTTAATATAAATGGTTCAATCTTATTTATGCTAAAAGATGATAAGATCTTTCCAGTCATGGCTGCTATAAAAGAAAAGATGAGATTGGGTTCAGTTTGTGCCCATTTTCTTTTTTGTTTAGTTGTTGGGTCATCAGTCTTATGGATTAAAGCCTATCTTACTTCGTTGGTTATATATGCTTCGGTAGACGTTAAGATCAGAGAACTCAGAAATAAAAGAAACAAGAATAAACATAAAGTTGCGGATGAGAATAAAAATGGATCAATACCTGTAGTTTAAGTCCTATGAGATTGTAAAATTTGTTTGAACCATGAAACATAAAATTGGATTGGCTATTTTCGATTTATTATTTCAAGCAAAAGCACTTCTTTGCAAAATATATGTCATGAAAACAAACAATATAACCAATGAAAAGACAGACACTAATAACTATTTTATTTCTTGGATTAGTTAAGTATATTACATCTATGAATCTATATATAACATTAGATCATATGGTATTAGCATTTATACGTTATAATATATCATCTATAGTCATTATACTGCTTCAAAATAAACATATCTTCCAATAACATAATAAAACAAATTACTCTCATGATTCTCTCTTTTGATTAAATCTTATATTTTTCAACAATTGAAGATAATTTTGGTTGTACAATTCAAATTTCTGATTATAATCCTGTAATTAGGATTGTAATTTTGTGTAATTTCGGTAAAATGGGTTTCATATTATTTGTAAGAAACGTAATCATAACGCTGGTACTATATATCACGTATGAAATTTAAATGAGATCCGGGTTATTTTACGTATAAGTTTGTAATTTTTGTAACACAACCCTAATAATTAACTGATATTGATTTAACTAGTGTTGCTAGAATTACCATTACTAGGACTACCAAGTACTCGTCCACAAGCAATACATATGACAGGATACAACTGTGTCATCAACAACTATCAACTTTTTATTTTGTTCAGAATCAGTATCCCTTAATAATTTCACCAGTATATAGAGATTAAACCAACGCTTTCATATACCAATAGTTTAAGCCTAGCTTTCTTGGTTTATTTCACGGAAGATAGTAAAACAAGGCATTAGTGCTGGTAGAGAAATGTCCTGCAGTTATAAAATAATAGGTTGTGGTGGCTGAAGCTGAGAAGGCTAATATTGAGAATTGAAATTTTAAAAATTTTGAGTGCTATTTTTTTAGGGTTAAGATTCAAGATTATTGTTAGTAAAAGAGTATATAGTCAACTCTCTCTAAGTGCATTTAGAAAACAATTAAGAAAAATTGCATTTATGGAGACAAAACATATACTTGGGCCAGAATTTAAATTTTCATTTAGAGAGAAGTTGCACTTAGAGAGGTTCCACCTAGAGAGAGTTGACTGTATGTGAATTTAATAAGTTTAGTGGATCCAAATTGATACCCCAAGTCAGCCAATCTCAACAACACCAGCGACAATATGTATTTTATTTCTTTATAATTTTACGAAGTTCCTCTAAAACTTGTGGTTAAATTCTTTTAGTAATGGCTATAAGCGCCTATCGTAGCCCAATAGCGTAGTCAACATACTATTATTTACGTTCCATAATTTTGCCAATGGTTCTTCAAAAGCATAAACCGTCGGACAATTTTGTAAAGCAGAAATCATAATAATAAATTAACTAAAAAGTCAATTTTCATAATTACAATATATGATGGTAATGGTAAAATAAAGAAAAAGAATAGACCATGTCGTTAACTAAAGTGTATATTCTAGTATTTAATACAGTATTGTTTTTTTTTATTAGGCATTAAATAAATTCGATATCTGTAATAGGTTTATTCCATTTGCGTTATGTAACAGGTATTTTGCAATTTTAATTCTTAGAATAGTTGTTATCAGAGTCACTAGAAAACATTAGAGTCTTATTTTATAAAAAGAAATGTTAAAATTTGACTTGCTAAACAATTCGCTTAAAAATTGAATCATTTAAAAATGCTAACGAGATAACTTGGAATAATGATTTTAAGTGGATTAAGGCTAAAAGATATATTCTTATAAGCCTTTTGTTGGTTAAATGAACAGTTGGTTCTCTCCACAATATTGGTACACCATTGACGATTCACGAGAAGACATGAAAATAAACTTGAGTAATCAAACCGAAAGTTATTTCTACAAGACACTCGTTATGTAACATTAACATATTAAAAGGATTAAAGCATTTAGCGTTAGTATGTATGTACAATGATGAAAAATTTCCACAACACGTATATACCGATAATAAGTTGTGAAACCTTGCAAAAGTATGTCCTTTATACGTAATTAATTCTGCAAGTGTCGGCATCCTATAATACCAGGCATGTATAAACATTATGTTTTAATAGTACGTGTGTGGGAACTTGCAAAAAAAAAACCTGTAAAAGATCCTCAATGACTCATTCAAGATATGATGTTAAGTGGTCCACAGAGTACCGGTTCTGAGCTAGATTTTTTAGGATCAGTTCAAAACTAGTCCGAATAATTACACTATATGAATTGAGATAAAATTTAATAAAAATTAGTCATGAACAATAATACTTTTGATATTTCGTTGTAATTGTCAGAAAAGAGAATGAAAAAAAAATTTAAGATAAAAAACTGTCAAAATTGTTTTACCAAACCCGAACGGTTCGCGAATTTTTGGACTGAACCGAATGGGTTTTCAATTTTGTGCCGAACCTGAATATCAGATCGGTTCGAGTTCTAACGACCAGTATGCAATGTCGATCAGTATCAATTATATAGAGTAGCTATCGATATCAATCATCATTAAATATGCCTAATCCAGGTCCTATTTTGTTCTTAAAGAGTATATCTCTAAGAGTACTTCGAGGATCTTTTCTCCACGGACGATGTTATAGTTCTTGTGGCAATGGCAATTGTATGTATAATATATTAATTTGTAATCAACGATAACGGAAAGGAATTTAGTAGTTTAAAATGGAATAATAATTAAGACCGTTTATATAAATATATAAAACTCAATGATTTATATAAAATTAATTTCTGGTTTTTAATATAATTTACATATGCAATTTTCTTTATTTCTTTCTTTTGCCTAAAAAAGTTGGTCTACTAACGTTATGAGAACCAAAAATTGACTTGGTTAAACCTCTAAAATAAGTAATTATCATGCTAGACATTATATTATAAATGAGTTCCATATTATTGATTTCGTTATATTAATATATATGTTATTACTCACGGATTTAAAAAAATTAATTAATAATTTTCTATAATTTATTAATGAAAATAATTTTAGACCTTCCCAACCTTCCATTATTTACCCAAATTCTCCACCACGCCGAAATACAACGTAAACATAAACCTGCAATTATTGATGTCAAAGCTGAAACGTCTCATTCCTATCGCCATCTGGTTTCAGATATTGTAGAATTAAGAAAAATATTGTTAAAATATGCGGGTACATCTGTTGAAGATTTAAAAGAGGCACGAGTTGCTTTTTTATGTCCAAATGGATATAATTATGTTGTATCTCAATGGTCAGTTTGGTCTGCTGGTGGAATTGCAGTTCCATTATGTAAATTGACATTTAAATCATTCAAGACATTGCTTTTTTGTTATCACTTTTATTAAGTAATTAATCATATTTATAATCTTATGGTAAAGGTATAACACATCCACTGCCTGAACTTTTATATGTCTTGAATGATTCTCAATCAACAATAATAATCACACATTCGGATTTTCAAGAAAAAATAAATGGTATTGCTCATGAAGCTGGTATTAAAAAGGTTATTGTGGTCTGTGACAAGGAACAAAAATATAGTCAATATAATGATGTCAACTTTAAAGTAAGTTTTTCATCAATATAATTAAGATTTTATTTTTATTTATTTAAATTTAATCTCAATTACAGTCACCATCATTAATTCCAATGGATGATTCACGACGTGCAATGATTATTTATACAAGTGGGACAACTGGTAAATAAACTTCAATTAATTTTTTAAAAAAATTAATCTTAAATTTGAGGAAATACTTTTATAAACATTTCTGTCTAGGAAAGCCAAAAGGTGTGGTATCAACCCACGCAAATATTACTGCACAAGTTAAATCTCTTGTTGATGCATGGAGATGGAATGATAAAGATAAAATTTTACATGTGTTGCCTTTACATCATATGCATGTAAGTTATGACATGAAATACTTTTTATTTTATTTTTTTTTACTAACTATTTATATATTTGAAAATAGGGTATTATTAATGCATTGACTTGTGGACTTTATTCAGGTGCCACTGTCGAAATGATGCCAAAATTTGATGCTGCCTCTGTATGGGACAGGTGGATGAAGCCAGACAATGACCTCTCACTTTTCATGGCAGTGCCGACAATTTATTGTATATTTTTTTTTTTAAAAAAAAGAGCCAAATGTAATTATAATATTAATGAAAGATTATAATACTCTTATATCACATTTAATTATAGCAAAATTAATTCAATATTACAAAGACAATATTCCCAAAGAAACACAACCATTAGCCACACAGTCATGTTCACAATTTAGATTAATGGTTTCTGGGTCATCGGCACTTCCTATTCCTATCAGGAATTCTTGGAAAGAAATTAGTGGTGGAGTTGTGTTATTAGAAAGATATGGAATGAGTGAAATAGGAATGGGATTGAGTCATGAATATGAAATTGAAAAAAGATTTGAGGTAAATGCAATACTCATAGTTTATAAATATTTCATTTATAAAAAAATATATATATTTTTATTTTTCTATAGGGATGTGTTGGAGTACCTTTGCCAGGTGTACAAGTGAGGTTAATGTCAGAAGATGGTAAAGATATTACTACGGCAGTTGAACAACCAGGTGAATTACATGTAAAGGGGCCCAATGTGTTTAAAGAGTATGTCATAAATATACTAGTAGATTTAATTATAGCCTTTATATCTCAGGCTAAACAAACTTGGTTCTTTGTTTAATATAAGATAACCTGTAAAAGAGGGTTGGCTATAATGTATATTACGTATTGAGTTTATAGATTTTTTAAAAAATAGGTGGGGTTATATTAAGCAAAGAATTAATTATTATAAATTATTTAAATTATTTTATTTAATTAATGGTATACTTCAACCAGATATTGGAATAGACCTGAGGCTACTAAAAAAGAATTTGCTGAAGATGGATGGTATGGATAATTAAGTTAAAATTTATACTTGAATACTCGATTTAATTTATTTATCTTTATTTAAAAGGTTTAAAACAGGAGATATAGCTATGATAACAGCCAAAGAAAAAGTCTTCAAAATTCTTGGTAGACAAAGTGTCGATATTATTAAAGTATAATTTGATCTATAATGAATTAGTAATATATCAAGCTATAACTATGTAATTTGACTAATTATATTAATATATACTCCTTTTAACAAAGAGTGGATCATATAAAATTTCGGCTTTAGAAATTGAGAAAGAATTATTATCGCATCAGGATATACAAGAAGTTTCAATTGTAGGAGTTGAAGATCCAGAATGGGGGCAAAAAGTTGGTGCTATAGTTGTTTTAAAAAATCATGTAGGCATTTCGATAGTATTTATTATAATAATTTTTAAAAAACCATAACTAACAAGATTACCTTTAATACAGACGTCAAAACTAGATTTAAAGCAATTAAGAGAATTTGCAAAAGATAGGTTGGCGAATTATAAAGTACCTACTTTATTAAAAGTTGTAAATGAGATACCAAAAAATGCCATGGGAAAGGTTAACAAGAAAGAGCTGGTTAAGTTTTTTGATTATTATTAATGTCATATCTGACAAATTACCATTTAAATAATTCAAATTGCTAAAAAGCTCTTTTATATAAAATACAATTAAGGGTGTTCTCAAGCGTCTTAATCAATTGGGCAAAAAATGTCGGTGAATTAATTTTACTTAGCGGAAAATAATTTAAGGGAGTCAAAAGTGTTTAACATCGTAATGAATATTTAGATAAACATTGTAGTTTAATAAAGTTTATTACGTAATCAATAAATTTTTATTAGTAAAAATTATTACGCGAGTTTATCATTTCAATTTACAAACATTTTGCGGCAGACCACCTTTTTTTTATCCCTGGGTTGGCAAAATTTACAATTAATTGAATATTTAATGAGATCACACAAGTAAACTTATCATGCAACCTTATTATGCAACAACCAAATGTTAATGAACTAAATGTAACGATAACGACATTTGATAAAATATTAATGGATCGCTCAAGTATCAATTAGAATTCTTATTTTGATTGATTGTAGTAAATGAGTATCGTCACGTTTATTAGCTAAGTGCATAGAGAATAACGTTTAAGCAAATTTTGATTACTTCATGATTTGCATATTCGATTTTATTAATTAATTATAAATTTACAAAATTTTTAATAAATGTAAATTACAAAAAAAATATTATTTCGAAAGTAAAAAAAGAAAAACCATCTAAAAAAAAAGATCTAGTAAAAAAAATCAACATATTATCTAACGAATAACCTATTATATACTAAAAAAAAAAAAAACTTAATAATAGTCAAAAAGTACATCAATATTGTCGTCATCTATATAGCCTACTGCTGCTTCTGCCAAACATTTCTGAGAAACTGAATAAACAACATATAGTATTAACATTAAACATATGTTCACTAACTTTAAAAAAAATTAGCAATATAAAATACAAAAATATGTTCAAATTTTCTTAAAATTTTTGAACATCTACCAATGCTCAATACTACATTCACATATAAGACCAAAACTAGTTACATCAATTAAGATAACCAATCTTTCATGTAAAATCAGTAAACTTAATGAGCAGTAACTAGGGGCCTGCAAATTGCCTATTTTTGAGGCCCGGCCCGGCCCGCAATTAGGGTTAAAATTTTTTTTTAGGCCCGGCCCGGCCCGGCCCGCAATTAGGGTTAAAAATTTTTTTTAGGCCCGGCCCGGCCCGCATTTAGGGTTACCATTTTT